AAGTTGATTGAATGGCTCACTCTTCTTCCACCGAAGGCACTTCATTATCTGCATCGCTTTCTTCGTTGGTGATCTCGTCCTGAGCATCTAAGGTGGTGGTATTCGTGGTGCGACGTGTCGTGAATCTAGACAGAACAATACCCGGTGTTGCATCAGTTCTAGCCTTCTTACTTCGTTGAACATCGCTTGGTCCTGCCATGGGGTCCTCGTCGCTGGATATCAAGTGGTCGTCTCGCGGTTGGTTTGGCGTCATGTATCTCGGCATCAGAGTTTGTACAATGGCTCGGCTCATCGTTGCTCTTGGAGGATTCGCAGGTCGTGAGGTTTCTCTTGCTTCATCCAGAGTTATTAAGCCAATCGTTGGTGGCATAATCTTTGGTCTCAAGACTGAGATGTGGACGTTTCTGCGTTGGTTTGGCGCTTCACCAGATTCGGCCGACGCAGTTATTGTGTGCTTAAACCAGCCAGCGCAGATGAAGCTAGCTCCTGCTTCAGCGAGCTTGCGGACGAACTCCTTGACCTTTTCCCCGATATGATCTATATCTACTTTCTCCGCCTGAAAAGAGAGACTTTATTCATTCATGTAACTTCCTAATTTTAACTTTTTGAAAGGTAATCGCAGTATTCAAAATTGCTTCAAGCTTTAATTCTAGTTTATCCAGACGTACAATATTAATCTTGCTAAATAAAAAGTAAATTACCTGCAAAACCTCCTTGGAAATCAGCAAGTTTGCCAAGGCCTCGCTGCTATAGGGGCACCTCTTTATAGGGAAACCCTTTATAGTAACGCTGCACGTGAGGCAGCGTTTGTCGCTGCGGCCTCCGACGAGCGCTGGGCACTTGTTGTTGCTGGGGTCTGTCGGCGAAGACTTGTGCAGCGAATCGCACATAATTGCTGTGCAAGCCGTCGGCAAACCAATTTTACCCAATCGTACGTCACTTGCTGGTACTTCCAGCAGAAAGGTTTTGACCGGTTCCTTCAGAGTCGTGGCATCTAGGATTGAGGTGAGGCGGATTTCACTAGTATCCGAGGACACTTCTATCGGAATCAGTGAAGTACTCGTGGTTATCAAAGGTAAGCCGTGTATGGTTCCACTTGATTGCGGTTCATAAATCGCAACCCATGAGCCAAGGAATGGAATGTTGGGGAACCTGAACAAGTGGAAGGCGTCTTCCGGATAGGGGGCGATGACGTAGAAGCCTGCGCCTGTTTGAATTTCCCTGGAATATAAATGAACTCTAATAAATGCGAATGATTGACCGAACTTCAGCAATTTAGAAAAAAAATTATCAGTAAAACTAGTATACTTCTAGCAACGCTTAAAATCGGTTCATAGGTTTTTATCTGCCAAAGAGAAATTAGGAATACCATTCCAGTTCAATTCATTTTCATGAAAATGGTTCTGCTCCTTACCTCAGTAGTACCAGCCTGCTGTACGTATTAAGAGTTTTCCCCTGCTTCTGGTACTGCATCTTCTTCGCGCCTTCATTTTTGGGCTTTTTAATAGAGAGGGCAAGCCCGTATAGAACTCTTCGGTCCTCGTCGTCTGAACAGTCGTCGTCTTTCTCTTCTCTCTGTAGTTGAGAAATGCTGACGTATCTGCCCTTGTCGACGACATAGGTTGCCGCTTCCTTCCACAATTCATTGTCTACCTTGTCTTGAACAGCGTTCATCTGTTTAATGAGCATGGTAAAGTATACAAGTTGTAAAATTATCAAGTGATGATTGCAGTTGAACTCCCTGTTAAGAATTGCACATAGATTCGAGGCTCTTGCACGATTAAAACTTCAAATTTATCAACCTGTAGTTAATGTCAGACGTGCAATTAGTAAACAACAAGTTGTACAAGTGTTTAGAACTATTCTCTAATTTCCTCTTCAAGGTAGTTTCATTTACGTGAAAAAAAATCTATATTGGACTGAAGAGTTGAGTAGCGCTGGAAGTTTGCACTTTAATACTATGGTTTTATCATGCACGCTATAATAACTTGATACAGTCGATTGGTCAGCCCTGATAATATTGCAATTATGGTGTTCAAGGAAAACTATAGCCTTACGATGGTGCGAGTGATTCAGGGAGGCTACGACGGGAAGGAGCTGGAAGCACAGGCACTGGCAAATCTGAAATCGGCCATTGAATGGATGGCATAAACTTACAATTGTGCGAATGAAGATAGTAGTGTGAAATGTCTTATTAACTCAAAATCCAATGTTCTAGATTACGCCGTATGCTTGTTACAGTGAATGGAAAATATATGTAAATCAATTTATGACATTATCATTAAATGTCGATTCAACAACTTTCAATAAATGATAAAATTTACCAAAAGAAAGACTTGAGCGCTTGCGGCGGTGCTGCGATGCCAAAGCGCTAAAAGCAGCAGCAAAACGGCGCTTGACGCGTAAGTGGAAATGGTAAGTGACGCGTATTGAAAATTTAGCGGAAAATCGCGAAAATTTCAATTTACAGTACAAGAGACCTTACGCCGTCCTACTGTCACACTGAAATTATAACTAACAAATTCAAAATTTGTGTCGATATAGTCTGAGTAACGTTGGTCGATTAGCAATATGAAGAAGACTATCAGACATTGGGTAAAATTTGAACGTCTAATCAACGTCTCGGCGATTATCTGTCGATTCAGCATATCTAATTATACATTACCAACTGAATTACGAAGAAATTTGAAGCTAATGACCCTTCATAATATTCGAATAGGAAGCCAGATTCAACATTGACACTTAAATAAATTTACAATAACCATTACCTTAATATCTACTGACTAAAATGTATACGTTTATATTGCAAATGGGTTCATAGAAACTAAAATTACCGAAACCACACTTACATAATTAGTTACATATCACTTCAATGATACTTACTCTTCAAGTAGTGATGTGGACGAAATGAAAGTTAGGCGGCACAGAGAGACTAAACGGCAGGACTTCGCGGCACAAATAAAGCTTGTACGTACTATAAGGTCCAGAGCGACAATGAGTCGGGAAACGGAAAGCAGCGCCCTTACAAGCTTTGATACGAAGCTTTGTCTTCGCATGGTGCTTTTAGTATCTCGCATGGCAATTGCAAATAGTTAAATTGATGTATATTCGATTGCATGTTGAATTTTGTATTTATTTTTCTTCAAAGTTTACAGGAGATGACAGAAAATGAAAAGGTATTAAATAATTTGTAAGGATAGACTAATAAATAATAAGTTTATTCATGATTAGTATTGAATTGGCAATTAATATAGGAATAATTTTGTACTGGTCCCGGAAGGCTGAATTGATAAAGTTTTAGGTGATAGTATTCATTCAGAATTTGAAGTCATAATTCAACTGAGACAACACCTTACAAATCGTAAAATCTAAAAAGCATGGAATATATTGAAGCAGCTGTTAGTAAATTTGTTAGGTCTAATGTTGTACCATTTTAGACGTGTTTAACGCTTCATTGATATATATAGTGAATTGGAGAAGAAAAGACTTTTTTATAAATTTATTTCGAAGAGTTTGGAGTAGAGGATAGATTTTACGGGCATCTATATTGCTGGGCAAATTGCGTTGATATGTTGTTGTCTTGAAATATCTTCTTTCATTTAAAAATTTTGACTTGAGATCATCTGTGAATTGGTAACGCAGGTGGCTTAATGATGAATTTTTGTTTACTTTAAAAACTATTGATTGGTTAAGTATCGAATTTGCTTCATTCAACCATCGACGATTTGCTTATAACTTCATACACGCATTTCTTGATTGCTGACGAACATTTTAATGTATTTATTGTTTCTGCAACAAACGGCAGGTATGCGTTTATATCTCAGTTGCATCTTTTATTATCACCTTCAGACTTTACATACCATTTCTTACAAGTGATGCCTACATAATTTTGTGGGTTTCATTTCTGGGATTTTGATATTAAAAAAAAATGATTGTTCAATTTCAATTTTTTCTACTTTTTCTTATCTTTATTTCGACGTAACTTCTGAACGAAGCATCGTATCTGATTGTTTTTTTCTAAAGGTTTATCACATTAAATTCTACACGACGATGCCTGGCACACATCACAGCTCCTTCTAAAGCGGCCGGAATTTGTCGCTGAAAATGGCGTGCTGAGAGTTTCCCACATTCTGCGAGATCTATCGCATGGTTCCGAAACTCGTTTATCGTATTATTATAGATAGATAGATATCGTATAGGTATAGATGATAATTAGCTAAGTTTTCTGGTGCATCTTTTGGTGTGTTAATCTATTTTCTGCTGCTATTTTACTGTGAGCTAGAACTTTTTAACTAAAAAGAATTGTGAGATTTTCTATCCAATTTTCGATCATAAATGAGGATAGTATGGGTAATAATGTTGATTAGGTTATACTCGTATCTCACTCCATTGTGAATGCGATGACGTCAATATTTTTTAAGAAATATCTCCAGTAACTTGTTTTTATTTCTATATTTTATTACTTTTTTGGGTTACATGGCGTTGTGTCCGATTTTCAATATTTTCGGCCTCCGTGATCCAGGTGCTTCATAGATTCTGATGCAGTCCATACAGAACCATTGGGGCTCAATCTTTCGTGCCAACGTACGGAAGACTGAGCTGACTTTCGCGCTTTGGGGTCCCTTTCGCTGTCGGATGAGACTCGCCAAATTAAGACAGGTTATAGAATAGAATAGAAGTGTCGGTACTGAAGAAATAGGCCCATAGCCTGTTACCGATTCTTGAATTTTTCGTGACTTGATTCACAAGGGATCCTGTCTTTGGAACCCGATCTTTACATAACTGACGATTGATTGAGATAGCTGCTGGACTTATTGCGTGGTTCGCAAATTGCTAGGCATTTTACGATTTAACATATGCTTCTGCTTAGCCTCGTCTAGCCTGTTCTTGAAGGCGTTCATACTCGGAGCGTCAACGAAGCTATCAGGGAGGCTGTTCCACATGTCGGTGACTCGAAGCGAGGAGAAATGTTGTCGCATAGATGTGTTACAATGCGTTTTTTTTTGTTTAAAGCCGTGGCCACTGGTGTTGGTTCTCGTTTCAAATTCTAGTAATCTGGTCTACAGGTTATTTAGGTCTAAAGGTTATTTTAATGAATGTAAGAACTGAGGACTTCTGATGCAGTCTAGACATAGCTGATGGAATCTGGAGGTTAGGTGAGGAGTGCCAAGTTCTTGTTTTTTAAAGCAGGGCCAACCCGGTAATAGAACCTGAGTTAGGGTTAAGCACTGCAAGGCCATTACCTTGTTAGGGAGACCTTGCTCCTAGACATGGTTGTGTCAACCTCGACAGACTATCAGGGTAATATTATGGTTAGGTTAGGGACTCCATGTTGTTGCTTATATTGAAATTATGAACCATTTAAAAGCAGTTTATGACGCTGAGTCAATGTTGATGTTACATAATGGAAGCACATCGTGCGGGAGACATCGTAGGATGTAAGAAGGTAATTTTATTGTTATTGATATTAAGATATGGGGGTTGAATGGATTATCTGGTTGCCAAATCAAAAAAACGGACCGGGGCGCAAGCCCCCGTTTTTCCGCCATTTGCGTTTTGACTTTAGTACTTTGATTTTTATTGCCAAATCAAAAAAACGGACCGGGGCGCAAGCCCCCGTTTTTCCGCCATTTGCGTTTTGACTTTAGTACTTTGATTTTTATACTTACATATAAACTTACCCTAGACTAATCTTAATATTACCCAAACGTAAATTATAACTAAATTCAGTTTAAAGAATAGAAATCTTATTAACGGTGGGAAATTTTCCACATTTTTAACCGAGTGCTCAATTTGAGATGAATTTGTATTCAATATAAAGAGCGTCTGCTTGTGCAGGGTTATCTCGGTGTGCTCGCCTTTCTTTTGATCTACCTTGAAAGCAACAGGAGTCCGAGCAGCTGTTTCAGTGTGGCAAATCGGACAGCGCAGCGTGATGTGCAGGTGCCTTTTAGGGCGGCAGCGATCTCAAGTAGATTCAAGTTTCAGCGTGAGGAGTAATGAAACGAACGGGCGGATTATGAGACGGCGGTCTGCTTTGACACTTATTGTATGAAGGAAAAAACATACGCTAACGCCCGGGTGGACCAGAACACAAGTCTGAAACATCAGAATACTCGCCTTGTGTGTAGACGTGCGAATATTCTGGACACTATCTAGCTGTGTATATAAGATGTTTGTAACATTCCTCATGGAAAATTCAAAGCCTGGAACGACAAATTTGGAACGTATTCTTTAAGTATATGAATGGAATATAGAGCCTATTTTTTGGGTTAGTCATGGCAGCAATACTAAACTGATTTTAGCTTTTACACAGCTTTTAAACTGATTTAGTGTTTGTGCGGTGTGACTTATGGATAATACAATTAAGTGAAGTTAAAGTTAGTTCTTTGAATCTTGATTTTTGATTGTATTAGTTCGTACGTGCTATTCATTTTCTCCTAGAGGCACCGGTTTAAATTACTGATATTGCCGATTAGAGATTTAAAGATTTCATGCGTATCTTATTAAAAAAATAGGCGATGTGTGTTCTATATTTGCTCGCCACTTAATGATTACTTTCTAGATTTTCCAGAAACCCGATAGGTTTGTTTGTTGAACTTGGAAACTAACATTATTTTAGTGACTTTTTTCTGTTTGATTCACTTGAGGAAGTCAGTAGCTGGTAAACAGTGTGAACTGAATTACAAAATCGAATATTGAGGAGAGTTAAAGTGGGCGTAGTTGTAATTTTATTTTTTTAATACTGATTTATTTCACAAAAAACAATCCTTGCCTATTTCTTGCCGTGCCTTTTTTTGCTTTCCAATACCGTGATGAACTTGACTTATAGGAATGTGATGATCAATAACATATTTATTTTTGTTCCCGGTAAATGCTTAATTAAAATTTGATATAAATTACGTGATTCTGCGCCATTCTTAAGTCGCAGTCATATATAATATGTGATGTATTTAAATTTTGTATAGTGTCATTTCACACGTCACCTGTTGTAGGACTGTTGTCAGCAATTTTTCTGCTTTAGGGTCCGAGCGATTGGAGGAAAAAAGTGGCTATACAGAACAGGCTAGACTCTAGACTAAGGGTGGACCAGACTAGTCTGGCAGCACTTACAGTGTAGTACCGAGTAACCGAAAATTGAACGCTTGGCAATGAATGAACTATTCTTTATCAATGATGGTAATTCTTAACTATTCTTAATTATTAATATTAAATGCAATTTTCGTCCTTAGAATTTGAAATATGTATCTAAACTGGAAGTATAATTCCTTTGTTGTGAGTCCTCTAGGTTTTGTCGCCATATTTTACTATGCTATAAATTTTATGTTTGCTTGAATCTGAGCAAGAATGTATGCATCATTTTTTTTGTGCAATTATATGTTTGCCACATTTCGACTGCAGCGCGATGGTAATCGATTTGCTAATGCGCTCTGGGTGTTTAAGAATAGTCTACAGTGCAGATGGTTGCATTATGGATTGGAGCGGAAGCGCTGGCATCTTATTTGATTTCAGAATTGTAGCCGTTTTTTCCTCGAAATTAAAAAATTATACTGTTTTTGCTAGCACTTTCTTGTTACGGAGTATAGTAGTGGAGCTTATACCGTAGAAAGACGATTACTAACATCAGTATGTGTTCGTTTCTTTGAAGTAAATTATTATTACGGATGATTTTGATTCCATTTTTTCCTGCGATTAGGTAAACTTACTATTAGCAGTAGTCAAAATTTATGTATGTTTGATTTAAGTAAGTCGATATTTCTGTGATTTTATTGGAGGCATGTTAGCCACCGTCTCCCATATCTGTAATGAGCCTTGTCGGTATAGCTGTATGACGCTTGTCGAGAATTGAACATTAGAGCAACATCTTTGCTAATTGCACGTTTTTTGTTCACGGTAAAAGAACTTCAGTAAACTTCATTCATTCAACTAAGTAACATTTTAGAAGACCTGTCAATTGTTTTAGTAATCGGGTGTAAATTTTAAGTGTATTGAAGCTACACTGTAGAATAGTTGTGAAATTAAAAATTCTATACTTGCATCGTTACTGAATAAATGTATAGTCAATAGCATTTGCTCTTTCGCATCACGAAAAGGAGTTTCACCCGGGCTGCTAAATACTAGATCAAATATCCTTATCCTGTTAATAGTCTTACGCTCAGCCCTACTTCTGAACTGACTTGTAAAAATTTGGGACAAAGCTTACACGTTTGGTTACGATTAGTCGACTATTTTTCTTTTTGTGTTAGCTCTTCAATTTGAGCTTGCCTAAGCAGTAATTTGGTAAGGTAAGCAGCATAGTTTCATAATAGCTGGTAACAGTAATATGAATGACTCACTGTGTACTTGCACTAATTATACTAGTCCTTTTTCGCATTCATTCGCAGAAACCGGTCAAGCACTACAAAACTGCGTGTTCTCTCGCTGTCCTGGACGAACCTGAAGAATGTCGATCAGGGGAAAACTTTAGATTCTATTTCAAGACATGGTTTTGTCCCAATGGGCCGAGGTAGCTGGCTGCGTGATACTGTTTGAAGTGCGTGATACTGTTGTGTTCCAAATCCGCTATGGAATATAATCAACTACGCACGTGGTCGTTCCTGAGCGTTCCAGTGGTACGACGCGTCAACAATGCTTCTCTTCAATGAATGAAAATCCATATCAGTGTTCATTTTTGAGGACAAGCTTTGCGTAACTGGAATGGTAATAAGGGTTGTAAAACCTATCGTATCGTAATCTCCCACTAGCTGTATTCTTTGTACGAAGACCTGTAGCCAAAGCGCCTGCGCCTGAACATGTAGTTCTTCTTACAAAACATGCAATTGAATTCCGCTCGGTTTCGTTCCGAGGTCCCAGAGATCTATTGCTTCCAGATATTTTCTAACTTGCTATCAATCTATAGAGAGCATTTTCAGTACGCTGGAGGCTGAGTATGCAGTTCAAAGAAAGTTCAGTAATTAGATATTTTTTTCGTATGACCCCTCCATTTTTATTTGACTTCAAAATCAGTAAATCTACAAATCAAAGTGCAATACAAATTGGTGGAAAACCTTAAGTGATATCTTTCCGGAATAATTTATTCGCTGTTGTTCTCGATGTTAGTGTCGGTTTCTTCTGGGTCACTGTCCATAGGTTGATTTTCATGAACTACAGCCCTTGTTAAGATTCTGAGCTTCTTTCGGGGGAATTGGGTAGGACTTATCTCTGTTTCGTCGTTAGCAGTCGCTTGTTCTTCATGGTCCAAGTCTCTGCTCCTGGTTGTGAAACTTGTCAGAAGAATTTGTCCTGGTGTGATTTTCGGTCTTTGGAGGCGACTAGGTCCAGCGACGTCTTCCGCTCTCTCTGCTGTCATGTCCGGCGTCATGTATGCATGCATTCTCCGTTGCCGAATGGACGGATGTATTTCAGCTTGTGGAGCTGTAGTAGGGATTGTCATCCCGGGATTATTATCCCGATCGATGGAAATTGGCTGAAAATCTTCAGGCAGTGCTTTTGGAGTTAGGAGAGATATGTGCACGTTCCTTCTCAGCTTCGGAGCATCCTGGTCCGAGTCTGCGGGAGCGACGGTCAGCTTGAACCAGCCTCCTACAATGATGCTGATGTCGGAGTCGACGAAGCTTTTAAATAGCTTTTTCACTCCCTCCCTCACCCGGTCTTGATATATTTTCTCCGACTGACAGGTTTTAGAAAAAATTACGTAATATCAGGTATGAGCACATGTCGGTTTCTTGGAAGTTTCAACATTTGTAATATCAAATGAACATTAATAATAAAATCGATACTTATTATCAAGGTATTAATCAGGAGTTTTAATTCAGGGTTTTCCTCTTTGATGCAATATATGATAAATAGCTTGCTGTGAAAAGACTATTATCAGTAATTTCGGAATTTTTGGCAATTAACTATAACTATAGATAACTATAGATTCTTCAACACTATTAATTTTTAGTTGCCGTGCTCAGGAACAAAATTTTCCGTGAATGTCCAGAGGCTATGTTCTCGTAATTATATTCTGGGCCATTGACGCAACGACCACGTCTAACACTTTCCGTTCAGTTAAGTGAACTTTGATAACGTGAAAACCGTGATAATTCACCTGCAGGACTGTCTTCGAGATCAGCAAATTAGCCAGCGTCTCGCTGCTGAAAGGACATCTGCTGATTTTGTGTCCTTTTATAGTTACGCTGCAGGTTAGCGTGCGATGATCTGTTCGACCGCCTACGAGAGCTGGGCAAGATTTTCCAGATTTTTCAGAAGATTTTCCAAGCACGTTCAGATGCAAGGAGTTGCACATGACGGCCGAGCAGGCTGGCGGTAAGCCGACTGTTCCTAGAAGCACGTCACTGGCTGGGACTTCAATCAAAAACGTCATTACTGGTTCCTTGCTCGAGGCAGCTCCCAGCACCGTCGACAAACGAATATCCGCGGTATTAGGGGATAGAGCCAATGGAACTAATGAGGTATTAGTGTCCAAGATCGTCAGTTGGTGGATTTTGCCCGCTGATCGCGGCTCGTAAACTGCCACCCATTGGCCGATGTAAGGCACATTTGGTGATCTAAATAAATGAAATGCCTCTTCTTGCGTTGCCGCGATTATGTAAAATGCCTCTCCTGTTTTGAGTTTTCTGTAGGAAGAAAATTTATTTTAATCAATCTTTACTTCATTTGCACAATAATTACTGATGCATGGCAATCAGTTTGTACATTCATTCGTTAATTTAGCTGTGTCAATTAATGAGGAAGTCACACTTATTGTACAAAATTTGATTTCGGCACATTTTATTTAGAAAATAGTTTTGAACTGAGCAAGTAATGAAATCTTTTCGCGCCGCTACCTCAGTAAGACGAGTCGGTCGTATTTAGCCACAATCTTTCCGTGGCGCAGAAATGGGAGTTTCCGGGAGTTGTCGTGGTACTTCTTGATGGAGAGGATTAATCCATACACGACCCGTTGGTCTTCTTCTTCTGCACATTCTTCGTCTTGTTCTTCTTGACGAAGTTGCAGGAGGCTTGTATATTTGCCTTTTTGCACCACGTAAGTTGTCGCCTCTTGCCAGTTTTCTTCATCGATAAGGTCCTGGACCGTATTCATCTATAAAAAATTAAGAGTGAGGAGTGGAAGTAACTTGGGTGATAAATCGGATTTTCCTTCGATGCCTACTGAACGTAGGCATTTCATAATTTAAATTAATTTTTGTTTGGTCCGGCAGAATTTAAAATTAGAAAAGATGGGCGATGCTCTATTCAAGTCTTAACTGCTATAGGTAATGCGTGATGCTGGAATGGCCAGGCACAGGTGATCAATATTGTATTACGACATAACCCAATTTGTCTAGCCGTTGTCAGGAACACCGTTGTCTGGTGCTTAACAGCTATGAAAGAGTTTATGCCATCTTTTGAAACGCTTTGTTTTATTCAAGATAATTAAATAGTAGCATGATTTAGTGAATTCAGTACGGAATGAGAGTTAGGGTAAATTGACAATGTTCTGACTCTGAAATCGAGGCAATTCTACGGTATTTATATTAGCACAGCAAATTATTCAGGTTATCAGATTTGTACGATTTTAATAATAGACAGCGATCGGCCAATGCACAATTCAGATTTGCTTACGATGGTGCAGAGGTTGTTCCAAGGTAAAGATGGCAAGACGTCCAAGGCGGCTACGGCAGAGCCTTAATCAAGAGTGGTAATTAACCGAATCTGAAAAACACGACATACTAGGTTAGGTATTTATAGCTACACAAATGCATACGAAATTTCAAGCATTTTTTTAGTTGAACTTTAGTTTCCGTAAACTGGTTAATATGCGAACTGCAGCCCACGAAGTCATGATGGCACAAAATTACCATCAAGCGTTAAGACCTATAGTACTTTAAGAAGTGCAGTCGAGCGTTGCACTATAAATTGAAGATAATAATATAGCAGTGTCATTGACGATTCGATATGTGGAAATTCAACCGTATTAACAATGCTTCATCCTTTGAATGGAATAAATGAAATAAAAGTTTTTTAGTATTATTGTATTAAATTACGAAAATATTCTTAAAAGATAATGCTGAAACTTGCCGAGGTGTAACGAGAAGGCGCTGAACGCAGTAACAAGGCGCTGGAGGTAGAGGAACCACTTCAAAGTTGAATCTGGACAGACTTTAACAATAAACAGCAATATATTAACATAAGAGCAGAGCTGGGCAGCGCTACTTGGAAATGTAGCGGCGCTACCGCTACCGCTACATGCTCTACATGTAGCGGGCGCTACCGCTACCGCTACACCCACTAGATTGTAACGGGCGCTACCGCTACCGCTACAGTAAAATGTAGCGCGCTACATTAGCCGCATGGTGCAGGTGCCGTAGCGGTAAATGCATCGCGGCGTCTAAGCTCTGCGACAATAAGTTCATGGACTGCGACCAAGGAGAAGACGACTACTGCCACCGTCTGCACCGGTGTACTGGTAACAAGTCATTCAAGTGTGACTACGGCATGTGTGTGGAGAACACAGCTGTGTGTGACGGCATTTATAACATCGAACAGGCCATTCAAGTACGGCAACGGAGAGTGCATCACTATGGATACGGTGAGTCCGTTTTTCTCTAATTTTTTAACGGATGAAGATAGGAGATTGAAATTATGTTCTTGTTTTAATGCACTGGATGCAGGTCAGTTAATTAAACAAGTAAATAAGGTATTTCTTTTGTTTGTATAAATGTTTGATCTTGTGTTCAGTGGTAGGAGTTTCCAACTGGTTTCTCTCTGTTCAGTCTTTTAAACATGAAGATTTTCGTCATTGATATACTGGTAAATAGTATTAACCTGTAACATTCTCATATGAACTTTTAGTATCTCATTCTCATTTTCCATTTTTTTAGAATTTGCCCATGTAATAATGTCACTGTACTCACGAGCTGGATTAACATCGTTTTCGAGGTGGAGACGGTTGCTTGTGTTGTGTATTTTGTTGGATTTGCTTACATTTGCAGGATTGAAATGAAATATTTTTTTGCAGCTGTGGAGTTGTCGGAGTTCTGCAGTTTACAATGAACATTTTAACAAGACTATTTTTTATGCAGGTGTCAAGTGGTCGGCGCTATATTGTTTGTTTCTAAAATGACAATGTGAAATCTCTCTCAATGAAATCTCGGATATTGATTATATGTGTAAATAAATTAAGGTTTTGAGGTACTTCCCGTAATTCAGAGTTTTCCTTGTTATTTTAAATAATTGATGGCTAACCTTACCTTTTTTGACACTATTTGCTTATGAATCATTTCTATAAGACCATTTATTTTGTGCAGATTTTGAGTTGGCGGTTCAGCCTTCGAGGCTTTGTCGGGTTGTGGACGCGGTCTGAAGAAGACAGTCCACGAGGCTGGCACGGCTGGGTCCCAGGGGAGCACTTGTCGTGAGTACTAGTAGAATCCAAAGTATGGAACTCCCGAGCTGGAAGCAGGTGCTAAGAGCAGCTGCTTCCAGCTCGGCACGCCGCAGGCGCTAATCTGCCTTTAGCAGCAGGTAGTAAGCGACGTAGGTCGGCGGCTCGTCAGACATTAGGACGTGTGGTTTAATATTTATTTATATATATAGTGGTTTACACGTATATAAATTAATAAAATTAGCTTTGCCCTTGTATCCGAATGGACTTGGATAAGTTTACTCCTAGGATAAATTTCACTTTTTTTAACCTAGTGTTCAATTTGAGATCAATTTGTATTCAATATTAAAAGCGTCTGCTTGTGCAGGGTTATCTCGGTGTGCTCGCCTTTCTTTTGATCTAACTTGGAAGCAATAAGAGTCCGAGCAGCGGTGTCAGATCGGACAGCGCAGCGTGATGTGCAGGTGCCATTCGAGGGCCGCAGCGATCTTAAGGAGATTCAAGCTGAGGATGATTAAACGAACGGGCGGATTATGAGGCGGCGGTCAGCTTTGACACGTCAAACATACGCTGACGCCTGGGTGGACCAGAACACAAGTCTGAAAAAGAAGACGTTCCTTGTGTTTAGACGTGCGAGTAATTCTGGACACTATCCAGCTGTGTATATGTTGTTTGTAATATTCCTTATGAAAAATTTAAAGCCTGAAACAAACACTTTATAAGTATTCTTCAAGTATATGAATGGAACATAGAGCCTATTTCTTGGGTGAGTCATGGCATGTCCTTAGCTGTGACCAGCGAAAGCAGAGAGCACAGCAATACTAAACTGATTTTATCATTTACACAGCTTTTAAACGGATTTAGTGGTTGTGCGGTGACTTATGGATAATACAATTAAGTGAAGTTGAAGTTAGTGCGTTGAATCTTGATTTTTGATTGTAAGCTTGGTTAGTTCGTGCTATTCATTTTCTAACGCTAGGTTGAGTTACCTAGAGGCACCGGTTTAAATTACTGATATTGCCGATTAGAGATCTAAAGATTTCATGCGTATCTTATTAAAAAACTAGGCGAGGTGTGTTCTATATTTGCTCGCCACTTAATGATTACTTTCTAGATTTTCCAGAAACCAGATAGGTGTTCTATATTTGCTCGCCACTTAATGATTACCTTTGTACGTACTTATTAACTTTGTTGAAGTTATTAACTAAAATTGTTTTAGTGTTAGACTTTTTTGTTTGATTCACTTGAGGAAGTCAGTAGGTGGTAAACAGTGTGAACTGAATTACAAAACCGAATATTGAGGAGAGTTTAAGTCGGCGTAGTTGTAATTTTATTATTTTAATAATGATTTATTTAACAATAAACAGTCCTTGCCTTTTTCTTGCCGTGATATTTTCTTGCTTTCCAATACCGCGATGAACTGGACTGTGGCAGTGTGATGATCAATAACGTATTTATTTTTGTTTCCGGTATATGCTTAATTAAAATTTGATATAAATTACGTGATTCTGCGCCATTCTTAAGTCGCTGTCATATATAATATGTGTAATATGTGATATATTAAATTTTGTATAGTGTCATTGAACACTTGCCAAAAATTACCACCACATCCGCCGCCCGGGTGGGCGAGAACACAAGCCTGAACAGACGACGATCCTTGTGTGTAGACGTTCGAGTATGCTAGTAACTGTCCAGCTGTGTATATGAAATGGTTGTAACATTCTCAATGAGAATATCAATGCCCGAGAAAAACATTTTGTATTGATACTGTAGGTATATAAATGCAATACAAAGGCCTTTTTTTATTCAGCTGTTCATTGTGTATCGTTAGTTATGACCAGCAAAAGCAGTGAGCTAGCAACGCACTAGTGCATCCTGATATATAGTTAAGTTTTGCTTTTTAACTGATTTTGTGGTTGTGCGGTGATTTTGGATAGCATAATTAAGTGAAGTTAGTTTGTTGAATATTGATTTTTCATTGCAAACTTAGTTAATATGTGATCTTAATTTTGTCACGCTAGGGTAAGTTACCTAGAGGCGCTGGTTAAACGTGTATATAATATACGTATTATATAACGTATAATATACCGTGTAAATGTTATGCTGTACACATTTGAAGGTAATGTTGTAAATGTTGTGTGATTTCTGGTAAAACTTTTCCGCCCCTTGTGGGTGATAAATGAATTTTTAGATTTAGGAAAACTTTCTATAACTGAGACCTTCCACCTCTATTATCCAGCTGTGTATATAAAATGTTTGTAAAATTCCTCATGAAAAATTCATAGCACGAGATAAAATTTTTGTACTGATTCTTTAAGTAGTATATTAAGTTAATATTAAAAGGCTATATCTTGGGATACTCATTGCGTGTCATTGTCGGTGACCAGCGAAAGCAGTGAGCACAGCAATACTGAATCCTGAAACAAAAAGTTTTGCTTTCAACTGATTAAGTGGTTGTGCGGTGACGTATGGATAGTATAATTAAGATAAGTTAGTTCGCTGAATCTTGATTTTTGATTGTAAGCTCCTCAATATTCGATGTAGCAATTCAGTTCAAACTCTACCAGCTATGTGCTATTCATTTTTTAGCGCTAGGTTGAGTTACCTTGAGGAACCGGTTTAAATTGCTGATATCGCCGATTAGAGATTCCAAGATTTTATTCGTATATTATTGCGAGAATTAGCAAGTTGTATTTTATATATGGTCGTCACTTGATGGTTAATTTCTAAATTTTCCAGAAACGCGATAGGTTTCTGTTTGTTGAACTTGGTAGCAAACTTGTTTTAGTGTTAAACTTTTTTATTTTGTTTGATTCACTTGGGGAAGTAGCTGATACACAGGGTGAACTGAATTACAAAATGGAATATTGAGGAGAGTTAAAGTTGCCGTCGTTGTAATTTCATTTTTTTAAGAATGCCTTTACTTTTTGCCTTTACTTTTTGCCTTTACTTGACTATAGGAGTGTGATGATCACTAACATATTTATTTTTGTTCCTGGTTTATGCTTAAATTTGATATAAATTACGTGATTGTGCGCCATTTTAAGTCGCAGTCATATATAATATGTCTAATATGTGATATATTTACATTTGGTATAGTGTCATTTTACACGTCACCTGTTGTAGGACTGTTGTCAGCAATTTTTCTGCTTGAGGGTCCGAGCGATTGCCGATTGAGAACAGTCAAGGCTAAGGGTGGACCAGATAAGTCTGGCAGCACTTAGGGTGTGGTACCAAGTAACCGAAAACTGAATACTTGGCAAAAATTACCACCACATCCGCTGCCCGGGTGGGCCAGAACACAATATTTAAACAGAAGACGAACCTTGTGTGTAGACGTGCAGCATGTAAAATGTTGTAAAACCTTTATCGTATCGTAATCTTCCACTAGCTGTATTCTTTGTAAGAAGACCTGTAGTCAAAGCGCCTGCGCCGGAACACGTAGTTCTTGTTTCATAACATTTTATTGAAAGAAGCTCGGCTTAGTTACGAGGTTCTAGAGATCTATTGTTTCTTGACATTTTCATACTTTATATCAATCTAGAGAAAGCATTCTCAGTACGTAGGAGGCTGAGTATGCAGTTTGAAGCAGGTTCAGTAATTAGAAAATTTTTATTTATGACCCTATATTTCTATTTGACATCTTACATGTCAATTAATCTATTGATCAAAACGCGTTCCAATTTATCGCTTTTACCAGACGGAATTTGGTCAGCCACGTTTTTTCCATTTGACATGGCAGGGTTTCGGTTGATAAAACGAACATCACTGAACTTGTGGCTATGGAGACGCTACCTGGTAAGTAGGTAGTTTACGCTCGTAATGAATTGTAGCTAAAATTCAGATTCTATTGTTTCAACGTGATCAACACGCGCTTTACTTCCTAAATTGTTGAATTACAGANAACGCTTGTCCCGTTTGAAGCTCCCTGCATCGTGAAACACAGTGCATTAAATTTTGTTGGGTCATGCGCAATTTATAGCGTAATGCTCCGTTATCGTAAATAGGGGTAGTCAATTACAAAAAGAATAAAATAATTTACAATAGTTTTTGTTTGCAGTCGGGTCGCAAATCGGCATTTTCTCCAGTCGCGACTCAGATGGAATGTATCTGCTTATTTACCTCAGTAGTAGCAACCGGTCGTATGTCGAAAGCATCTTCCCCTGCCGTTGGTACTGTATTTTCTTGGCGTCCTTCTTGGGTGTCTTTATGGACAGAATTAGTCCGTACAGGACCCTCTGGTCCTCGTCAGCCCAACAGTCATCGTCAGTCTCTTCTTTTTGCAATGTGGAAATGCTGACATGCTTTCCCTTTGTGAGGACATAGGATGCCGCATCTGTCCAACGCTCCTTATCCACTTTAGCTTGAAGAGCGTTCATCTGAAAGGAAACAAATAACGATACGATTCTCTTGTGATAATTGAAGCTGGGCTCCAATATGTAATAGGAGACATTTTGTCTCAATTTTCGAAAAATTTGAAATAGACTAGACAATAGTCTGACGATTCAAGAGCACAAAAACGACCACGATTAACGTAACAGGCAGTCAGCGGCATTCTGCATCTATTTAATTTACACCCGGTCCTTAGAACAAGTTCATTTCATCAGACGTTAGTTTTTTGGAAACCTGATTTGCTTACGATGGTGAGAATGACGCTTCCAGGGACGACGGTACCAGCGTTGAAGCATCAACTTGGGTACTATACTATGCGTAATGTTGACACAAGGTAGTACTCAATGCTAACCGTTCTAAGATTCGAACTTTCCGACTCTTGCTAAAAGACAGGTTCAGGTGAGTGTGAGATCTGAATGATACTAAAGGGCGAAATTTTTATATCAAAGGACCTGTCTTCAGCTGTTTGTTTAATTTTTAGGTAGCGTACGTTGAATGACATGGACGTCTTTATAAAATCTACGTAAGTCGGCGAAGGATCCGATTATCAATGCAGTAGGATCACCGAGTCTGGTTTGCAGAAAAAATCTAGGTACGATAGTGACCACGTTTCATTAAGTAGAATGCAATATAACATAACAATGAACATAAATAATTAAACATAACAAGGAATGATGGACTTAAAGGACGATGATGAAAATCCTGAAGGCAACGTGAACGTTTAAAAAACTTAAAGTGGTGCTGCTACAGCTCAACTAGACGGAGGTGTCGGCACTGCGACTACAAGGAGCTGTCGTTCGGCGGCGCGGCCTCAACTAATATGGCACTTCGAATCTAAAACGGATCAACTTGTGTAGATGGAAAGACAACAGGATGCATCATTTCAAACGAGGAATTACCCATTACTTGTCAGCAGAATATTCTAAAAACTAATGGTTAAACAATATGCTCCGTACGTTAGGCATACTGCCGTCCTTATTTCTCTCTACATTATCAATGCAAAAAAGTTAATGTATTGAGTCGTGCGCAAGTATTTCAGATAGTTGGTGTCGTCATTATCTAATCTAATTCGGTGTCATTATCTAATATGGTGTCATTTTCTAATATACGAAGTTATGCCTTGGTACCGATCCACAAGTTTGAAAATACTACAACCTGATGGTCTTGCAAGGAATAGCTATGCTAGCTTAATAGACCTATGAACGTAAAAAGGTAACTATAGTATCTGAAGCAAATCCTGCGGTTGTAACTATACGAGTTATGATTTGTGGGCGAAGCCGCGGAGAGACTACAAACCTCGACAAGCAAGAAGCAGTTATAGTTTTGGTATCAGACTAAGGCTTTGCATCACTTTGCAATTCCTCTCTAAGATGACAGCCAGTTTTAGTATTAATTGCACTATGATGATCACGATCGTCAGGTGTGATACAAATGACTATTGATAGACAATGAAAATTGAATTGCATTCCTAATTACCTTGACTGAGAGAGGCAATGCAGCTAGCATCCTAACAGCAGTCAGAGAAAAGTTAGACGTGGGCCCGCTCCTCGCTCGCGTCACACCTCAGTGACCCTCGGAGTCGGTGTAGGCCACCATCAGAGGCGTTAAGGTCGGGGCCCTGATCATTGACATGAAACCATTCCGTTTTTAATTAATAAAATTAATTCCTTTTCGTTGGAATGGTGAGTGTGGGAGGCCTTTGAAAAAATAAAATTGACACTAGTGCAAACCTATTTCCATGTGAAGATTTGGGCAGCGGACCTATGATATCGACATCAACTCTGGCAAAGGGTTTATCTATGATTGGTAAATTAATTAACGGAGCCGGAGCGAGTTTGCTTGAAACTTTAGTTTGGCAGACCTCACACGACTGACAGAACCGTCTGACGTCATCGAAACAACCTGGCCAATAAAAGTGGTTAAATATCCTGTCCTGAGTCTTCCGCGTGCCCAAATGGCCCGACAAAACTATCATGAGCCAGCCTCATCACTGTATGCCTTAATTGGGTGGGAAGGACTATCTGCTGCACAACATCCTTCGTACGTCTGCCACGATAGCACGATTGTTCAGCCTGAGCAACACACCATTCCTAGATACGAATCGCGGATAGCCGGTTGAAATGATCTTTCCTTTTCGCCAGTCACTTCTTCGGTCGCGACTCCCAGCTACGCCTTCGCCCCCACAAGCACAGGTGGCACCTGGTATATTGCCTAGCAGCACATCAAACAGAATATCAGTGAGACATAATGCTTCTACTCTTCCAGTGAAGTGTAGGCACTTCAGACCAATCATCGCCTTGGGGGCGTTCACGGAATGCTCATCTGCAAATGTTAATCTTGCGGTCTCCTTAGAAATGCTGCCTTCAGGAACCAGAGACCTCCTGACCACGACCACAGTAGCTCCCGTGTCGCGTAGCACTCTGACACTCTTGCCATTACAGGAACCATGAGAAATAGGAAGGCAATTAACTCCGGATTCGACAAAGATGCATTGACATTGAGGTTAATGTCCTTGGGCCTTCGTCCTTAGGTTGCCTGTCGTATCTAGATTTCCGTTTTTCTGGACAATTTCTAGCAAAGTGGCCCATGGAGCCACAGGAATAACACTTCCTTGGGTCCGGGTCGGTTGAAGCAGCCCCATTATTGCAGGGAACGTCCTGCACCACAACACCCTGTCTAGACCTGCTGGAGCCGTGCCACGTCGACGCCCTCTGATCACAAGCAAGCTTTGGTTATGATAGTGCAGTCCTGCACATCAAAATTTTCAAAGTCCATTGACATTCTGATCAAACACTCTCCAATAAATGGTTAACTACGTTAAAATAATTTAACGGACGATGAATGGCCTGAAAATTATCTGCCATCTGAATGACAGATTCCAAATCGCGTTGGAATATGTTGCGCTCCTTCAAGTATTCAGCCAAAAGACGCTTCGCAGCTCGTAGAATTTGGTCTTTCAGTAGAAGCTTCTCCAGTTTCTTCGCATCACTGCCAACTTCAGCGATCTGACACATTTTACTCAAGTTCTTTCTAAGATACAGGACAAACTGCCTGAACGAACCGGTCTTCTGTTTCGCATTCCGGAATATAGATTGATAATCATAAATAGTGAAACCGAAGGTCTTGGCAATTTGAAGTTTCATCTCCCCGTACAACTCCGTAGGTAAGGTGCTGAGGAAGTGGCTGACCTTTGTATTTACAAAACCATTCAGCAAGGCTGTGACTGCAATGCTGTCGCTTGGCTGGTTTGCTTCCTTCACCTTTTCAAACGTGTTGAGATAAATAGACACATCCTCTCCCTCCTTATAGGCGGTAAACTTGATGAATGACTAATTTGCAACGGGGCCGGTGGGAGCGGAGTTGGCTTGCAATCTAGCAAGCTCCAGCTGTGTTTCACGTGAACTAATCTTATCTTCGAGCTTCAGCTTCTCTAGTTCAAGCGCTCGGAGTTCACGTTCATGTGCCCGCTTCTCCCTCTCAACCTCCTGCTCTGCTCTCTCTCGTTAACTCCAACCTCCGCGCTTCGCGTTCCTCCTCCGATCTACGATATTCTGCCTTTCGTTCACCAATATAGTTGCGCAAATCCTGACCTTCATATCCCAAGTTTTTCCCATCGGTAATGAAAGTTGAATCTAGGGAAATTATAACTCAAAGTGANAAAAGATCTCGGAGTTTATGTCGACAAGGAGCTGAAATTTTCTAAGCATGTTGAAACGCAAGCTAACACATCCAACAAACTTCTTGGACTAATCAGACGCTCATACGAGTTCCTAGATGCAGAAGCGATGAAGCAGTTGTTTGTTGCTGTCGTGCGCCCGAATCTAGAGTTTGGAAACGTTGTGTGGTGACCGAGATTTGAAAAGGACAAAAATTTAATAGAGAATGTTCAAAGACGTGCAGCAAGGATAATTCCAGGCTTGAAGAGCAAGTCCTGTGAAGAAAAATTAAAGATTATGAAGCTTCCAAGCCTCAGTTATCGACGTCTGCGTGGGGACCTCATTGTAGTTTACAAGTATACTCATGGTTTATACAAGGTCCCCGAAGGATAACTAGAATTTGAAACAAGAACCAACGCCAGGGGTGTTGGGGCAGAACAGTGACAGCTCCTTGTTATCAACAAGACTTTTGTCCCTTGTTACTCAAGATTGCAGCCCCGACTTGTCTTGCTGACCCCTGCTCTGCACCATCAACTGCTCCTCATCAAGCTCCAATGTTTTGCTGCACCTGTAAGGACTTCGGCTGTGTATGTCAAAACTTCTATGGTTATATTGAAAGTATTAAACAACCTTTACAAAATTAGGGCTCCAAGGTTGTGATGAAGTTCAGGTTTTCTAGGGATAACTAAAATTAGTTATTGTAGATTGACTGATTAAGCAGGCCGTTCCTCATCGGACGTTAACCATCACCGCAGAGCTGCAAGAAAACCGAAGAAGCGATCGGCAAAAGAAGTTGAGACTGACGAGCGGCGTGAAGGAACAGGCTTCCAGTAAGAAAGAGTCCAGTCACCCTCCAAATAAAAAGCGAAAGCCTTTTATTTGTGATATTTATAGCCACAAATGTTTACAAAAATAAATGATCCTTACTTCAACCTTGAATGCCTTCTATAACTCTCCTTGTCAGCAGTAAGTAACATGCTGGATCAGTGGCAATGAATTAAAATCACGAAGATCGGACCCTCAAAATAGTAATAAACTGAATTTTTGTTGAAATTCTAATTACAAAAACGGGATAAAATAGTTTATTTGTCATCACTTCTTTTCTAGTCGTAATCGGGCAGAATTAGAATAGTTCATTATGCTCATATTCCCACTAAAAGCTCTTTACGTTCGCGGTCAGTATTGCACAGTTAGAGCACGAAATTTAGGTCAACCATTAATTCACATTGGCGAAACGACAGCAGGGAACACTGGATATAGTCCATTGGATTTCCAAGTATGAAATAATGGTTGCGTAAGTTTAAAGTTGAACGACTCCTCTTTTAGGGTAACTACTTTCTTCACCAGTATGAATATCTCAGATCTTCGTCAGGAGA